CACACATACACATACACACACACACACGGACACCGATGATTTCATTTTATTGTAAATATTTGCAAATGGAAGAATTAAAAAAGTAATTGATAGAAAGTAGCAGAAGAGATTAAATATATTTTATTTAGAAAAATCAATTCCATTTCAGATATATTCTAATTTATGATATTTTAGAATGAAAATTTTATAAATCCTTTCAATTTTGCAATGTATCACATATATTTTCCTCCATTTCATTTCATTGCATTCCGTTCCGTTCTGTTCTGTTCCATTTCCATATTGAATTATCAATTTCATTCCGTTCCATTTCATTGCATTGCATTCCGTTCCGTTCTATTCCGTTCCCGCATTGAATTATTATCTATTCCGTACCGTTTCGCTCCATTGCATTTCCATATTGAATCATCCATTCCATTTCTTATACTAAATTCATTTCTTATACTAAATTATTGTGTCAAAAGTATTAAAAAAAAAAAAAATTACATTGATGTTGTGAAATTTTGGTAATAAAATTTACAATTTTTTTTTTTTAAGAAATAATACTTAATAATATCCTTTTATTTTGTATTTAATTCATATTTAATAGTTTTAAATAGGCAAATTTCAAATTTAAATTTTCAACATAACCTTTCTCCTCATCATATTCCTCATTAAAATCATTTGTAACTAAGCTATGAATCATATCAATTACATTACATATTCATTTCAAATTAATTCATTTCTCATTTTGCTTCATTTCACTTTTTTTTTCGCATTACTTTTAGCAACAATTCCAATTTAATGGCCAATAAAAAACTACTTTAAAGCTTTTTTTTTTTTTATAGCTTATTCATTCTTTGCAAATAGGAAACATACATGGATGTCAACACTGATAAAATGACATCATTAACAATAATGTATGAAAATGATTTCATCCCATCTTTATCCTCCTAAATTATCTAACTAATAATTAACTAATTAATCAATTTTTTCACCTTTTAATATTTCATTTGAATAGATGTTTAAGTTTCATTAAATTCATAAATTCAACACTAAGACACGTGAAATGTAACGTTATCACGTGAATGAAACTTTTATTTTTCGTTTTTTGTTTTTTTTTTTTGTTTCTGTATTTATGTTATAAAATAAGTGATTGTACTGTATTTTTGAACTAATTTTTTTTTTCCTATCATTTTAACAAATGATAAATGATATGATACTTATCAAAATGAATCAAATGTAATCTTATCATTACATACAATTAGAATTGTTTTATGATTCATCCTTTTTTTTTAAACTATTTTTAATTTTTTAAATCTTTTTAAAATAAACATATTAAGTAAATAAGATGCGATATATCATTCAAATTAATATCTGACAATTAATAATTTCATCATTTTAGTTTTTCCTTTTTTCAAAATTAACAGCAATTACTTTAAACAATCAAACATGTTTGTAATTAATAACCTAAATATTATAACCTAAATATTAATAACCTAAATAAGTATTGACTAACCTAACCCAAATAAGTATTGACTAACCTAACCCAAATAAGTATTGACTATAATATAGTTTAACTTTGATGTCATCGATTATTGTTTTTTTTCTTTTTTTTTTACCTGCTATTCTTTTAGTAGTTAATTTATTCTTTTAGAAACAAAAAAAAAATGAAATTGAAAAAATTGAAATAATTTAAAACTCATGTATAATGTGTATTTCATTAATGATACAATTAGGATAACTTTTTTCGACATATTCGATATTTTTATTAAATTGCTTATTAATGATTACTTTAATAAGCATTACATACGTTGACTTTTAACACCAACATAAATATGAAAGGAATGAAAATAACAGTTATCATGATTACAAAATTTTTTTTTTTTTTTGAATTTCAATCGTTTTATATCAAAAATAATTAACAAGTCATCATTTAAAATGGTATTTATTAATTAATTCAAATTAAATTCAAAATCGTTTATATTAATTATTCAATGTAAAAGTGGAACGAATGGCTTAGTTTAGGTTAGGATTAAGAGATGGAGCAAAATTGATGAAAATTTGGATCGCTAATAGTTAATATCTGTTGGTGTCATTTGTATGAGGTCATATTTTTTGTTTGTAATTACAAACAATACAATATTAAAATAAAAAAGTTGACATTATTATATGCATAAGAAATTTAATTTTCAATTGCCAATTTTATAAATCCTATTGATATGATAATTTTTGTGGAATTTATTTTTCATTTACTAAATGCATTTAATAATAATAAGCAAAATTATTAACTTTTATCATTTTACATAATTATGTTTATCATATAATAGTAATTATCACAATGTTATATGTGATATTTTCATCCTAAAATGTAGTAATTTTTACGTAATTGTTATTATCATTGATAAATTATCAATGATAAAGATAGCAAATGGAAAAGATAAACAAATTTTC